GGGATCAACAGAAGTATGAGACGTGGATGTCTGCGATTGCCGTCGCACTTCCTCTGCCTTCAAAGCAACAACCTGTTCGTTCAATCTGGACAACTCCGCCTCCAGATCTTGGATCCGCTCTTCTAACCTCGCCACCTTGAGCGCCGACGTCTCTACCTCATTATCCCGTTCAGATCTACAAACACGGAGGGCATTGTCTAGGGCTGCTACTTCAGATACGGCAGCCACCCTGCCCTTTTGGGCACGAGCCAATTCATCAGCCTTAACGCTCAACTCACCCCTCAGATCGGCAGCCTCCGCTTCCCTTCACCCAAGCTCAGCAGTTAAGGTGGTCACCCGCACCTGAAGAACGGCGTTCTCGGCCATTACCCCCTTGCTCACCTGGATCTCATCATCCTTGGCCTTAAGAGCCGCCTCAAGTTCACTACATCGACCTATGGCCTTCATCAGCTCATCATCCTACTCTTTCAGCTCTTCGACTTTTTGCGCCAACTCTTCCTCTTTCTTCTTAAGCCCGTCGCGAAACAGCTGAAAATTGCTATCTTGAGTGAAGGCATCGGCCAATGCACGGTGCTTGGGGCGGTACTCTTTGTACTTGGAGGCCACCTTCTTAATAACGGTCGTCCTTCGCTCATCCCTCCTGTCGCGCTCGATCTCCATAAAGAGAGTCTAACATGCAGAGGAAAGAAAGTCAGCATAAGTAGATTACACATGCAAAACAAATCCTAACAGGATTAGAAAAAACACTTACTCGCAAAGCCATGCCAGAAATACTTCGCGATAGCTCCGCGTCACTCATCGCCTGAAGCGCCGAATTCTCAGAAGCGGCGCACAAGGGAGCAAAGGATGACACGACCTGCTTAGAGTTCGCCAAAAGATCGTAACCCATGGGAATGATTATGTGTCGGTTAGGACCCTCCGTCCTCACCTCCACGCGGGTATTTCTCTCCAAAAAGGCCCGCACCTCTTCAGGATCGATGTCCAAGCCTGAACCATCGTCCTCCGCGAGCATCACTCCATCCCCTCCGGCAGCCGACGACGCGCCACCTTCAGCAGCCCGTACAGGTTCCCCTCCTTGGCATGTCCCCTCGGCCCTAGGGGACCTCCCCGCCGTAATAGCATCCGCCATAAAAACGGCCCCTGCGTCCAACATAGGCGAGGACGCCACTCTCGAAGCAACGACCTTCTTCTTTTCAATGCTGGTGGCGACGGCCTTCTCGAGCTCCACCCTCCTCCTCTTTCTCGATGGCGACTCCTCCCCGTTGGAGGACTCATCTATGAGGTGGTAGACAGGACGGGAAGAGATCTCGTCCCGTACAACGACATCCCGAGGAGGGGAGGTCCCTTATTGATCAAGTTTGAGTACGACCTACGCGGGCGGACTCAGCCAAAGTAAATTACATCCCTACAGATGCAAATGGCCTGGCAAAATGCCGGCACTGGAGCTTTCTTTTTGGAAACCCGTCGACCTGTCACCACAAAGGTCGTATCAACAAATGACGGCAAACAGCTGAAGATCGAAACAAAAGTAACACTTATTATACGGAACCTTCGGTCCAAAGCGTTTGTAGAAAACCGCCCAATCGCGAATCCCCACCATGTGAGGTAACACGCGAGCTACCCAATCCTCAATGCCGACGATGGGAAAGGGTGCACGCCTCTCAGCTACACAGAAAAATCACAAATGAATAAAAATAAAAAATGATGAAAGTAGATAACAAGCGTATGCCATCAACACCTACGATTATGATTCCACTGCTCAGGAAATCCAGCAGGGTCCGACACCAAGTGCTCCGTTTTGATAAAAAAGTACTTGTGCCAAAACTTCCGGCTCACCTTGTCATCAATTCCAACTATCAGCCCCCTGGCCCCGCGATGTCGCAGATGTATCATGGTGCCTCTGTGAAAGCTTGGTGAAAACAAATGTAATAGGTGGTGGATGTCGACCTCACAACCAGCCAGCTCCACGTACTTTGTCAGCATCAGAAAAGTTTTATACAAATACGGAGACAGCTGTGCCGGGCAGACGTTGTAAAACCGACAGAACTCCTCCGCCAGTGGAAGAAAAGGGAGAGTATAGCCAATTACGAAAGGATAAACATAAGAAGCACAGTACCCAGGTCTATGGACCTTCACGATGTCGCCCCCAGCTGGAACCATCTCGACGTGAGACCGAATACGGTAGATCGAAGTTCATCTATATGAGACGGCCCGGTTTCAGAGATCACCGGAACGGGAGAAAGAGCGGGTTCCTTATGGAAATCGCTTCTAGATAAGGGGTTTCTGGGAAGTATCTCTTCTATGGTAGGAAAACTCTCACCCTCCTCAGCCACGAGATCCTCACTATCGGAAGGAGGAGCCACCGACAACGGAGTGGCGTCGGAAACTTCATCATGTATGCAAAGGTTTCGGGACATCTCGACAACAAAAGGTGTGTTATTAAACCTAAAGAAAGAGGTGATGACTAAATAGGAAGGTGAGAAACAAAATCGCAGAAACAGAGCTGATAACGAGAACTGACAAATAGGATCGAAAAAAGATAATGTACATGCAAGGAAAGAAATGGCGGAAACTTCTGGAAAAACTAAACCCTCATCTATTTATAAGGTTGGGTGGTGCGAGAATCGAAGCGAAGGATTGTCAATGGCACGAAAACCAAAAGCGACAAGCACGCAGATGCTGTCTCGGGAAAATGCGTAATGATGACGCGCGTGGCAGTGACGTCACATCATGGTAACCATACCAATCGCGATTCCGCTGGTTGTGTCGTTCTCTCGATCTTGGTCGGTCCGGCGTGATTTAATAGCCAAATTTTCCCACGACGAAAATGAATGATGTCCGCTTATCGAGGACGTGCAGGGCTACGCCCTCAACAAGAGAGGGACTAACTGTATAGGTCCAAATTTGGTAACTACGGTAATGGATAAGCAAGACAAATGACGGGATCGACCACAACACAACGACTGAAGGTCGTCCCCATAAAGGCTGACGCCAGAAGCGGGTAGTTGAGATATGATAGTAACGGTAACTTATTTTAGAAGTGGACATAAAGAATATTCCTTTGGATATTCTTTATGCTGTACTTTTTAGGGTTTTTGAGGAATGTCCCTTATAAATAGGAAGAGATAGGGATCTGCCTTTTCGAACCGGAACATATTGTAAAAGTTGAAAGAAGAATATATGAAGGAGTTGTCTTATTCATTTATTCAAGTACATGTTGCCTAACCTTTATCCATAAATCTCAAGATCCCATATACATTTTTGGATCTCTCGCTTTTCCACGCCACCGTTAGAGAAAAAGAATATCCCAATCATATAATCATTGGGTGATAGTTCCTTTCCCATTATAATCTTTGTCATTGCTTACATTTATTCTGCATTTCTGCTATTGTTAGTCATAACAAATTAAGTCCGCTATTTAATGCTCCTGAACTCTACTCGTTATACAAAAGCTTTATTTTATTTTATCTAAAATTTAGTAAGTTCAACTAAGATTCACCCTTTAACTCATCATTAATTAGTTTAGCATTTATTTTCTCAAACAGTGACACCTCTCGGTAAAGAGTGTCTCTATCACTGTGGGCAGTGGGCACACATAATATAAGCTCGACGATTGGTTGTTATACAATTTATCAACCCAAGATCAAAATATGGACGTAAAACTTATTTTTCCTACCAACCTTTAGGTTTATGTCGTACTTTTCCATTTCTTCTGCCCAATTAATTTGTTCAAAATATCAAGTTTATCCCTCTCAAACCTTTAGTAACATTCAATTTTGCCAACTTTAGATTTTGTCTCAGATCTACTAAAAGAAAATTGATCTAACAATTCTAGGAACATATATAATAGAATATCAATTAGGATAAGTGATAATGTTTGACTAGGATAAGCCTAATGTTATGATGCAATAGTTTATATGAAAGAATAAATGCCATATAAGGATATACTAAAGAGAACATAAAATTTTTGGTTCATTTTAATTCAACTTGACCAATTAAATTCATTGTTCGTAGACGGACAATGTTTATAAGAAGCTAGCTACCCACCCTGATCGAGATATAACCACTCGTAAAGGCTGAGATATATACACATGATATTAAGTTCAATACGTCTGTGATAGTAGGAGTTTGGTATGATAATATTTTTGGGTATAAAAATTATTTATCGAAAGAACATATAGTGTTATGGATTTATGATGGTAATATTAGCAAACTTATAGTTTTCATGAAATTTTATAGTACTAATGATTTGATATTGTTATATGTGTTAGCTGCCATAGATCTGGAAATCGAGCTTGAGGAAGACGACATGCAGATGAAGGCCACACTCAAGAGAAACATATTTATGTATTTAGAAAAAGAAGGAAATGATACAGGCGTATGTTTTTACAGAGTGCACAGTGTATTTATACTTCTACAGTATAACTAACTCCTAATTACTGTACTAACTGTTGAGTTTTGTTAGTAATAACAAAAGAGGTGTGAATAGAAAATGGTGGAAAAGAAATGGAGCGAAATGAAATTTTGAATTAGTTTATTTTACTAATGCATTTTGTCCCTCATTGGAAGAAGGAAAGAAAATCTTTGTGCTTATGTAGAGAAGCACATCTTCTAGCTCTTAAAGAGTTAAGAAGAAGTGGTGCCTCGTGCTGTCGTCGTCGCTCGCTTGGATTCGGATTCGGATTCGGTCAATTGATATGATTGATTGATAATTTTTTGGACCAAATTTATTTTTCTTTCCATTATTTAATATTTTCTTTTCTAATATTTTTTTCGCGGAAAAAATATTGCGAATCTTTTTCCAACTAAAATCTTATTGATTTTCTACTCCCGATTTGGAGATTAAAATCTTCGGATTTTCTACTCCTTTTTTAGATTAAAGTCTTTGTGACTTTCTGCTCAATCCGAGATATAAAAACTTGGTTGTTTGTATTCAGTTTGAAGATATAAAAACTTCACCGATATACTAATTCTGTTTGTCAATTTCTTTTACAGAAAAAATGACAACGAGTGCGGAACAACAGAATGGTTCTGTTGGGACTACTGCTGCAACGACAACTGAGTCTTCAAGTCGCACAACTCCTGCACCGGCGATGGCACCGGCAGAAAAACCCGGAAAGTTTTTCGGTGTGGACTTTAAGCGTTGGCAGCAGAAAATGTTCTTCTACCTGACCATACTCAGTTTACAGCGCTTTATTAGCGAAGACGTTCCAGTTCTGGGAGAAGAAACTCCTGAAAATGAGCGATTTGTGGTCACTGAGGCATGGAAGCATTCTGACTTCTTATGTAAAAATTATATTTTAAGTTGCTTGGAAGACGGCTTGTACAATATTTATAGCGTCATGAAAACATCAAGAGAATTGTGGAATGCTCTTGAAAATAAGTACAAGACTGAAGATGCTGGACTAAAGAAGTTTGTGGCCGCCAAATTTCTTGATTTCAAAATGGTTGACGGTAAATCTGTCATAACGCAAGTCCAAGAATTGCAAGTTATTGTTCATGACCTCCTTGCTGAAGGTATAAATCGAGTCAATATTGTTATTCAATATATTGATTATTTTACTAATTTATAAATTTATGATTGAAGATATGGTCATAAATGAAGCGTTTCAAGTTGCGGCATTTATTGAAAAGCTGCCTCCGCTGTGGAAGGACTTTAAGAATTACTTGAAACATAAACGCAAGGAGATGACGCTTGAAGACCTTGTTCGTCTACGGATTGAAGAGGACAACAAGGCTGCTGAGAAGAAGTCTCGTGGAATTTTAATAATAATGGGTGCAAATATTGTTGAGGAAGCTTCAATGAGTAAAAAGAGAAAGAAGTCGTCTGGACCAAAGAATTACCCAAGCAAGAAGAAATTCATAGGTAATTGCCACAACTGTGGAAAGGTTGGACACAAAGCTGCTGAATGTCGTGCATCAAAGAAGGACAAGAAGAAAAGTCAAGCAAACATGATTGAGAAGAATGATGAAATAGACGATTTATGTGCCATGCTTTCAGAATGCAACCTAGTCGGAAATCCTAGAGAATGGTGGATTGATTCGGGAGCAACTCGACATGTTTGTGCTAACAAGGAGTTGTTTACTTCTTATGCTCCCGCTGGACCCAACGAGACAGTTTTTATGACAAATTCCGCTACTGCAAAAATTGAAGGAACGGGCAAGATAGCTTTGAAGATGACTTCTGGCAAGATTGTGACTCTAAATGATTTTCTTCATATTCCTGAAATGCGGAAGAATTTAGTCTCAACATCACTTCTAGTCAAGAATGGCTTTAAGTGTGTTTTTGTTTCTGACAAGGTTGTAGTTAGTAAGAGTGAAATGTATGTAGGAAAAAGTTACCTGACTGAGCGCCTTTTCAAACTCAATGTAATTGCCATTGATATGAATAAAATTTTAGCTTCTTCTTACTTGCTTGAGTCAAATAATTTATGGCATGAACGTTTAGGCCACGTCAACTTCAAAACTTTGCGAAAAATGATTAATTTGGAAGTATTGCCTAAGTTTGAATGCAATAACTCGAAATATCAAATATGTGTGGAATCAAAGTATGTTAAGCATCCTTATAAGTCAGTTGAAGGAATTCAAATCCTTTAGACTTAATTCACACAGATATTTGCGACAAGAAGTCAATACCAACTCGCAGTGGGAAAAAGTATTTCATAACTTTCATTGACGACAGTACTAGATATTGCTATATTTACTTACTTAATAGTAAAGATGAAGCAATTGATACATTCAAGCAATACAAAAATGAAATTGAAACGCAACTAAACAAAAAGATCAAAATGATAAGAAGTGATAGGGGCGGCGAATATGAATCTTCTTTTGAAGAAATATATTTGGAAAATGGCATTATTCACCAAACAACTGCCCCTTACTCACCGCAATCTAACGGAATTACGGAAAGAAAGAATAGAACGTTAAAGGAGATGATGAATGCCTTGTTAATAAGTTCTGGTTTACCTCAGAACTTGTGGGGGGAAGCTATTCTTACAGCTAACCGAATACTGAATCGAGTTCCCCATAGCAAAACGCAATCCATTCCATATGAAAAATAGAAAGGAAGGAAACCTAACTTAAAATATTTTAATGTGGGGGGTGTTTGGCTAAAGTGCATGTTCCTAAACCCAAAAGGGTAAAAATTGGACCAAAAACCGTTGATTGCATTTTCGTAGGATATGCAACAAATAGTAAGGCATATCGTTTTCTAGTTTATAAATCAGAAAATCCCGACATTCATATTAATACGGTAATTGAATAGGATAATTCTGAATTCTTTGAGAATATTATCCGTATAAAATGGAATGTGAATCGTCTAATGAAAAATCTAAACGACCTCGGGAAGAAGCAAAGGAAAGTACGTTTGATGAGGAAAATCTAAGATGTAGTAAACGTCAAAGGACATCCACTTCCTTTGGACCAGATTTTCTAGCATTCTTATTGGAAAATGAGCCTCAAAAGTTCAAAGAAGCAATGTCTTCCTCGGAATCACAATATTGAAAAGAGGCAGTCAATAGTGAGATAGAATCCATATTAAGTAATCATACTTGGGAATTGGTTGATCTTCCTCCGGGAAATAAACCTTTGGGTTCTAAATGGATTTTCAAAAGGAAAATGAAAGCTGGTGGTACTATTGACAAATATAAGGCAAGATTAGTTGTTAAAGGGTTTACACAACGAGAAGGTCTTGATTACTTTTACACATACTCGCCGGTAACAAGGATTACATCTATCCGGGTGTTAATAGCGTTAGCCGCCGTGTATGGCCTTCAAATCCATCAGATGGATGTAAAGACAACCTTCTTAAATGGAGATTCAAAGAAAGAAATCTATATGGAACAACCTGAAGGGAGGTGTGTCGACTTGTTAAGTCACTATACGGACTAAAACAAGCACCAAAATAATGGCATGCGAAATTTGACAAAACAATATTGTCAAATAGTTTCAAGATCAATGAGGGTGACAAATGTGTTTACATTAAGAATACTCCAAATCAAATAGTCATTGTTTGTTTATATGTGGATGATATGTTGATAATGAGCAATGACATTGCTAACATAAATGCTACTAAGCGCATGCTTACTAGTAAGTTTGATATGAAAGACTTAGGAGTTGCCGATTTAATTTTGGGAATTAAGATCCTTCAGACTCCTCATGGTCTAGCTTTGTCTCAATCTCATTATATTAAAATGGTTCTTGAAAAGTTCAAATATTTGGACTTTAAAGAAGCAAAAACGCCAATTGATTTAAACCATACTCTTGTAAAGAACAAAGGTCAAAGCAAATCTCAATTGGAATATGCTCGAGTGTTGGGAAGTTTGATGTACATTATGAATTGTACACGACCTGATATAATTTGTGCAATAAGTAAGCTTAGTCGATACACAAGTAATCCCAACCAAGCTCATTGGATAGCAATGAAATGAGTTATGGGACATTTGAAATATACTCAAGACTATGCATTGCATTACAATAACTATCCTGCAGTTGTTGAGGGATATAGTGATGCAAATTGGATCACTAGATCAACGGAATCAAAATCCACAAGTGGATACGTTTTTACCATTGGTGGAGGAGCAGTGTCTTGGAAGTCGTCCAAGCAGACATGCATCGCTCGCTCTACAATGGAGCCTGAGTTTATAGCTTTAGACAAGGCCGGTGAAGAAGCTGAATGGCTCCGGAATTTCTTAGAAGACATTCCATTTTGGCCCAAACCTTTGGCACCTGTTTGCATACATTGCGACAGTCAAGCAGCAATAGGGAGGGCTGGGAGCGTTATGTATAACGAAAAATCTCGTCCATTCGACGAAGGCATAATACTGTTAGACAACTACTCTCTAGTGGAATTATCACAATTGACTATGTAAAGTCAAAATATAATGTATCGAATCCGCTAACAAAAGGCCTACCTAGAGAGGCGGTTGAGAAGTCATCAAAGGGAATGGGACTATGGCCGAGGACAAGTCACTATGGTGGTAAGTCTACCTAGAAGCCTGGAGATCCCAAGATCTAGGTTCAAGGAGATCAAACAAAGTCATTAGTGAAGGTTCAACATTGTCAAATAAAATATTGGTCCATTCTCATAATGAAGACAATGTTCAGTACCAAGGATAAAGCGTTAGGACTTTTTAATGGTTTCTAAGTTTGATACGGGGTAAATCAAATAGTATATCTATGGGATAACACATTTAGGAATCACATATATGAGTGTGAAGTGTAAGTCGCTTCAAGGAGAATATTGTAAGGCCAGTTCTCTACGCACTTATGAAATCAGGCGGTGTTCATGGCTGAAACGAACACAACAATGAGAACCAAAAACGGTTAAGGGTTGATTGTGTGACATATGGCTGTCTACGTATATACCAAAGTTCGACGGTTCAAAGATATCAAATCTACCGATTGATCGAGTAGATCCGACATATGTTCACTACAGAAAGTTCAAAGGGAAACCTACTTATCCAGATGCGATTAATCCTTACTTGCGAATCACACACAGTTTTTCATGCATATTTGTTTCGGATAGACATTCCCCATTCATGTGGGGGATTGTTGAGTTTTGTTAGTAATAACAAAAGAGATGTGAATGGAAAATGGTGGGAAAAGAAATGGAGGGAAATAAAATTTTGAATTAGTTTATTTTACTAATGCACTTTGTCCCTCATTGGAAAAAGGAAAGAAAATCTTTGTGCTTATATAGAGATGCACTATTCTAGCTCTTAAAGAGTTAAGAAGAAGTGGTGCCTCGCGCCGTCAGCGTCGTCGCTTGCTCCACTCGGCTTCGGCTTCGGCTTCGACTTCGGATTCGGATTCGGTCAATTGATATGATTGATTGATAATTTTTTGGACCAAATTTATTTTCCTTTCCATTATTTAATATTTTTTTTATAATATTTTTTCGCAAAATATTGCGGAATCATTTTCCAATGGTCGAGTTCGCGACCAAACTTTCCGTTCAATAGAATTTTAAATAAATCTGCTGAAGAGACACCTTATTTATGAACAGGCACCTATGCACCTGTTGAGACTCAATTTCTGTGGCTATAAATAGAGAGGCTTAGCCTCATTTACCACCACCGAAAAAAATTTGAAATCTCTCCCCTCAAACTTCTGTATTCTGCATTGTTTTTCCGAAAACAAAACGTAAGCATTTTGTGTGATTTGCTCCGCCATTTGAGTTCGCCGAAATTCTGTGATTTAAGGTACCGCTATCACAGAATAGTTATTCTGTTCTATCCTGGGAGGAATTAATCCGCAACCTTGGGCATTGTGAGGGGATTAAATTCCTTAAGGAAACACAAGAAACTTGTGGGCTCGGAATTTTTTCTGCTTTGGTTTTTTTTTAACTAACGTTTGTTCATTTACTGATTTTGGATACAGAGTTCTAACACTAACTAACTTCTTACTATAGTTACATAGTTAGCTACAATTAACTTATCAGCTTGGTTCATTAACTCTAGTCAACACTCCCCCTCAAGCTGATAGTTTATACACATTCTTCACTCCTAATTTGTTCAGCAGTTGATCATGTTGAAACTTCCCCAAACTATTTGTAAGTAGATCTGCTAGCTGATCTTTAGTATGCACATACTCTTTCTTCAGCAGTCCTTCATATATTTTTTCTCTAACAAAATGACAATCAATATCAATATGTTTAGTTCTTTCATGGAAGATAGGGTTGGCTGCTATTTGTATAGCAGCCTTGCTGTCATATATCAGACTTATAGGCTGTTGAATCTTCACTCCAAGTTCCTTGAATAACCCTATCATACAGGTGACTTCTGCTGCACATGAAGCCATACTCCTGAACTTAACCTCAACTAAACTTCTGGATACAGTCATTTGTTTCTTTGACTTCCAAGACACCGGTGCATTTCCAAATTTGACCAAGTACTCAGTTACTGATCTCCTCGACTCTATACAAGATCCCCAATTAGAGTCACAGTAGACAACCAACTTGTTTGTACTTTCTGCAGGCATAAGTAACCCCAGGCCTGGTGCTTGTTTGATGTATCTGACTACTCTGAGAGCAGTTTCCATGTGTGACACCTTGGGACACTGCATATACTGACTTAGAACCTACACTGCAAAAATACTGTCTGGTCTGGTCTTAATGCACTTGTCATACTCTACAGATGTGAGTTTTTGATTCAACTCCAATGGTGTACCAGAAGGCTTTGCTCCACCTAAACCTGTTTCAGATATCAACTCAAGTGTATACTTTCTTTGACACATAAGAATTCCTTCCTTTGATCTGGCAAACTCAATTCCAAGGAAGAATTTCAACTCCCCTAAGTCCTTCATCTTGAACTTCTTCTGCAACTCTGCTCTGGTGGTATAAAGTGACTTATCATTGTTCCCTGTGATCAGCAAGTCATCCACATACACAGAATGATAATTATGTCATCATTGGCTTCTCTAATGAACAATGAATAGTCATAATGACTCTGTTTGAACCCCATCTGCATAAGCACCTCTATCAACTTCATGTTCCATTGTCTTGGTTCTTGTTTAAGACCATATAATGACTTGTGCAGTTTGCAAACCTTCTGAGTCTCCCCCTGGCTAGCAAACCCTTGTGGAATGTGCATATACACTTCTTCAACCAAATCACCATTTAGGAATACATTATGAACATCCATCTGGTAAATCATCCAGTGCTGAGATGCAGCAAGAGCTACAATGGACCTAATTGTGACCATTTTAGCCACAGGGAAGAAGGTTTCACTGTAGTCTAAACCTTCCTTTTGACTATAGCCTTTGGACTTTCTTATTAAATAATAAAAAACCAATTGATCGGGAAAGGTGTTGTTCATGGTGGTAAGCGAGGGGGGATTGAGTAAAGGGATAATGCCGCTTTTTACTAATATAGTCCCGAGTTGGTAATTAGAGTTAGAAGCTTCACAGCTTCCTCCACTCACCTGCCAAGATAGAAAGTAAAGAGGAAAAGGCATGACCAGAAGAATTGTGTGAAATAAGTGAATTTATCCAGTTGAGGCATTCTTGATTGATTGAGACAAAACGATTCCCTCAATACAGTCAACCAGTCTGGCCTTGTATCTTTTAACTTCTCCTGAGGCCTTGTACTTAATTTTGAATATCACCTGCAATCGATAGGAGTTTTGCCATGAGGTATATCAACTATGCTCCAAGTTTTGTTTTCCTCTAGGGCTGCAATCTCCAACTTCATAGTCTCTACCCATTGAGGATCAGTGACTGCCTCATTAAAGGACTGAGGTTCAGAACCAGCTGAATGAGCTGCCAATACTCTACTATATGAGGGAGTGATGTGGGAATAGCTGACATAAGCAGAGATAGGATAGGAACACTGAACAGCTATTGCACCACATAATCTTGCATCCAGATGGGAGGTTTCCTGGTCCTGGAGGATTTTCTGACCTGAATAGGAACCACACCAGGTGAGGTATCCACTGCACTAGGTGCTGCAGCATCAAGATCAGCCTCAAGAGGAGTATCACCAGGTGCTGCATTATCTGTGATATCACCTTCAGGATTTGTAGCGTAGTAAGGAGTGTCCACAAGAGAAGGCTCCCCCTCAGATGTAGCACTAGACCCATGTGAAGGAACACCAACATCAGGTGAGGAATCTACAGCAGAGAGCCTGGGATCTGCACTAGTTGGTGATAGTAGATCCAGTATAGGAAAAATAGTGCTACCTGAAGATGATACATGCTTGAAAGGAAAAATGCCTTCCTGAAAAACAACATTTTGGTTAACAAAGAAAGATTAGCATTCAAGTCATTCAGAACATAGCCTTTTTGAGAAGAAGAGTATCCAAGGAAGACAGCAGGAATAGCTCTTGGTGAGAACTTGTCAACAATGTTGGGGCATGCTGCATAACACAGACAACCAAAAATCTTTTAAGTGTTGCAAAGAAGGAGGGTGTAAGTAAATTAACTCAAATGGTGATTTGTACCCAAGTGTTCTAGAGGGTAGTCTGTTGATGAGGTAGACTGTTGTGCTAACACACTCACCCCAAAACCTTAGAGGTATAGCTGCTTGAAATCTGAAAGATCTGGCCATGTCTAGAATTGTTTTGTGTTTTCTCTCAACAATTCCATTTTGTTGAGGTGTGTAGTCACATGAACTCTAAAGAAATATACCAAGATTGGAAAGCAATTATTTAAACTCATTACTAAAGAACTCACTACGATTATCAGTCCTTAAGACTTTTATGGAAGCTGAAAACATGTTCTTTATTTGAGTTAGAAAGTCTCTTAGTACAACTATAACTTCTGATTTGAAGTTGAGCAAAAAGATCCAAGTGTATCTGGTATAGTCATCAACTACTGTAACAAAGTACCTCTTACCACTATGTAAGGAAACCCTATATGGCCCCCAGATATCACAATGCACTAAGTCAAGTGTAGATTTAGACACTGAGGTACTTAGAGGGAAAGGCAGTTTAGACTGTTTAGCAACTGGACATACATGAGAAAATTGAGTTCCTTTCTTTAAGGTACTAAGAGCATCCAACTTCCTTATTACATCAATAGGAGCATGTCCTTTCCTCCTATGCCATACTACTTCAGAATCAGTTAAGCTGGTTGTGTGAGAACCCTTATTGATTGGTGTTGTTGTAGAATCCTGTGAAAGTCCTCCTTGAACTATGTACAAGCCATGCTCCTCCTTACCAATCCCCTTCACCTGACCACTGTAGAGATCTTGGAAAATACAGAAGTCAGGGAAGAACGCAACCATGCATTGAAGTTCTTTGGTAAGTTGAGATACTGAGAGCAGGTTGTATTTAAAATCTGTAATGTACAGCACATTGGAAATGTTGTTATTTCTAAGAACTGAGGAGGTTCCTTTATGTGATACAAATACTACATTGCTAGTAGGTAATTGGACTTTGCACTTCTCTGAACTAGGAATGGACTGACAGGAAGTAAGAGCATCAAGTTGAGAAGTCATATGATTTGAGGCTCCTGTGTCTATAATCCAGTTTTGCTTGAGAAAGTTGGACATTAGAGTAATTAGAGTACCTGCAGCAGCTAACTTGCTGGATGATTCTGGATACTCTTCAATCCCTTTGGCTAGCATCTAAAGTATTTGTTGATACTACTCTTTGGTGAAGAAAGGAGCAGCAGGACTATTGTTAGGAGTGGTCTGGGCACACTGAGGCATGTACGCATGTTGAACCTACTGTATTCCTGATTGAGTTCCATAAGAACCTTGTTGATTGCCAGTTTCAGCAGCATTTGGAAACACTGAACCACTCACATTGTTTGCATACACTCCAGAGTTCTGCCCTTTCTTCTTTCCCTTGAAGTCTGATGGATAGCCATGAAGTTTGTAGCAATTCTCCTTTGTGCGCCCTTGTAATGACAATAGTCACACTGCACTTGATTCTTTCTAAACTTGAAGTTTTCACCTGCACTTGTTGAGTTTTTATTACTATAGAACACAGCTCCTTCTATGCCTTTAGTAGTGTGATTAGTTTGAGTGAAATTAGCCCGACTCATTTGGTTCCCTTGATCAATCAGTAGAGATTAGGCTTTGTTAATGCTGGGAATTGGATACATCATCATAATATGACTCCTTGACTGTGAGTAGGACTCATTCAGTCCCATCAGAAACTGTAGTAGCCTGTGATACTCAAAGTGTTTGGCATATTTCTTTGATTCAGGACATGGACAACCAGGACATGGCATTAATGCATCAAACTCATCCCAAAGGTCTCTCAGCTGGGAGAAGTAGTCAGCAACAGACATGGTACCTTGAGTGAGGTTATGAATTTCTCTATGAAGATACAGAACCCTAGATCCATTTACCTTGTCAAATCTCTCCTTAAGTCTTCCCAAACCTTATGAGCATTAGAGGCATATACTACACTACTAAGTAAACCTGGCTTTACTACATTCATTATTCATGAGAGAACTACAGCATTCACTTTCTCCCATTGATCATGAAGTTCAGGTTAAAATATAGACTTAGCAAATCGACCATCTACAAATCCTAACTTACTCTTCCCTAGTGGACCAATCCTCATAGACCTACTCTATATCGCGTAGTTATCTGAACCAGTAGGTTGAAGAGAAATCAGAGTACTACCTGGAGTGTCTATTGGTTGAAGGAAGAGTGGATCATTGTGGTCAATTGAAGGAAACACAGTTGTTCCAGCTGCATTATTGACATTACCAGGGATCGTAGTTGCTGGAAGTGAAGTTTCTTCTCCAATCGCCATTTTCCGTTGCTTCTTCAAGAGTAAACCATAGACTTTCAGCTACACGCTACAATTGGACAATTTACCATAGAATTGTGAAATTGAAGAAACGAGAGGAAGGACTAGCTTGAGAGATGTCTTCGATTCACTCCGGTGGCTCTGATACCATGTTAGCTGCCATAGATCTGGAGATCGAGCTTGAGGAAGAAGA